TTACCTGTACTTTTTAAAATATTTGTTTTCTTTAAAGTATTATTTACCTATAAGTTTAATATGTATTATTTAACGTCATTTATTTATTATTTAACTTTCAAGTAAGTTTTCCAACGGCTTAGAAAATATTTCGAAAATTTACTTTGACTTAGAAGAGCAAAAGTTTTTTTCTTCACTGGAAAAGGGTCTTTTTATTCCACTTCCACCTAGAGTTTGTGTGTGAGCCTTCCTTTTTTGCCACCTGCTTAGACATTAACGCTGTTTCAACCTTATAATTTCTGCACCTGCTGCCAACAGTAAAGACCCACAAATATTTCAGATAACCAGACGCATTGCTCACATCGATATTATTTATGCATGAGAAGTTGAGAAGAAAGGAGGGGGGGCAAAGAGAAGGCATTTTCCACAACAGTGTAAATTTAAACGGATGGGGGGAGGACTGAAGTTTCCCCGCCTACCAATCACTGCAAGGATAATAATTGTTGCTGCCTACTTGGCCGCCCCCTGCCCCCTGCCCCCTGCCACGCCCCTCTGTCATTCTCAGCGCTTGACTTTTCCTTCCTGTTTGAGCTTTTGTTTTTATTGCTTCATTTTCGATTATCGAGCAATGCACTTATCGCTGCTGAAGCCCTCGCCCATTGTCAACGTCTTCGATTTTTGTCAGCCGAAGGATAAGAAGTGGGCGGAAGGAGCGGAGAGGGGGGTGTGGCAAGTGAAGCTCAATCACGCTGCCGCTGTTGTTGTTGTTGTTGTTTCGTCCTGCCGCCTGCCTCATCTGTCTCTGTAATTGTTGCTTGTTGATTTCAGTCGCGAGTGCTCCGCTCCTCTCGGTTTTCCATTCTCCTGTTTTTATACTTATTTATCTAGTAGGTATATATACGTTTATTATATCTGTATACGTATTACGTATATATTTATAGCGAGCAGCACGCGAAGTCAGACATTTTCTGTCTGTCTAGGCCGAGTCCTTGTCCCCTCCGTTTCGTGCACTCTCCTTCAAGGATTCAAGTGGCAAATGGCAACTTGGCCAGCGTGTCAAGCACTCCGTGCTGTCCTTCCACTCTGCCATTGCACTTGTGCAGTCCGCGAACAGTGAGGCTTGTATTGTGCAGTTCAAAACGGAATGAACTTGAATCGAAAAGATACAAAAACTCACAAAAAAATACGATAATGTACCTGAAATCGAAAAATACAAAAACTAACAAAAAAAATACGATGATTTACCTGAAATCTTTCTTTCAGGCTCTCAAAAACAATATTTGGTAATATAATATGGGTTTCTCAATATAGGTTACATTAAGTCATTTAAATTAACAACAAAAAAATTATGACTTTAAAAATGCTACGCTTACGAAATGAAGTCGAGCTTCCATAACTCAAAAACCATTGAGTTTAGCATTGTTCAGCGGTCAAATGTTTCCACATTATTTAAAAAAAAACTTGTACTTTCACAATTCCATTTTGGAAATAATTCTAAATAATTTGTTATCGATTATTTTAAAAACAATTTTGGTGGGAATTTATTTATAGTTAAATACTATAAGGATAAATATTACAAAATATTACAATATACAGAAACTAAAGCAATGTGCACGAAGATATAAGTGATGTCCCAAAAATGTAACTAACGTGTAAAATTAACTAATGAGTTCATTAATTCTCAGTATAGAAAAATGTTCCATTTATTCTGACATGTTAAGCTAAGAGTTTTCCATTGTAAATTGATTTAGTCAGAGCTCCGTGAACCATTTGTGATTTGCCCCACTCTCGGCCATCGGCCATCGGCCATCGGCTTTTGTCCTTGTTCTAATCAGGACAGGACCATCACCATGCGACGAGGGGCAGTCGGTGTGGTCTTTGATCTGGATAGACCACCTGCCCGGTTTCCCCGGTGGCTGTCAGCCCCATGGCCCCATTTTTCCAGCGCCATCCACTCACCAATTTTGTCACTAATTTAACTCTTCCGCTGCCACTTAGTCGCTTTTCACTGTAACTAACTAAGTCCCAATCTGGGGCTCCACCTCCGCGAACTTAACCAAAAACCTGGCCCAAAAGCAGAGCAACGTGTACCAATTGTGCAGTGGCGAAAAGAGCAACAACGGGCTGGCCAAAATCGGGAAAAGCAGATGGGGAAAAGGCCTCGGAAAACTGGCAGCGATGGCGGTGGCGTTGAAAAATGTTCGGCATTTGCCGAAAAAGTTTTGTGCGCACACAAAATGCACGACAAATGCCAAAAGCTTCTGCTTGTCGAATGCAGGACTCAAAGCCAGTCGTCCTGGCAGCCTCACAGGATCCCTCAACCCCCTCCCCCTCCCCCCCTCCCCTCGACCATCGCTCATGTCTGTCCTGGCTGGTTTTAGTTCTTTTGTTTTAGTCAGGTCGAACGCCATTTTCTAGCAATTTTTACTTTTTAATTGACATTTGTTTGTTTATGTGTTGGTTCTCATGCACATCCTGCCGCATATATACATGCATATATCTATACGTATATGTATATGATGTATGTACAATGTCTTTGTGTTGGCGAGCACTTTACGACCGGCGGCAGATATTTTTGTAATTATAGCGCAAAATTGATTTGATTTTTGAGTTTAATAAGTATTGACAGGATTTTTAATGAAGTGGGCAGTGTGTGTGTGTAGCCACGCCCACTCGTACGAACGTGCCCAAGTAAGTGTTTGCTTTGTGGGTGTGTGTGTGTGTGTGTTAGTGTGCACAAATCAGCCCAAAGTATGCAACATTAAAATGTAATTGAATAATTTTATGCAAAGCGCTTGTAAAAGTCATTGGCTCCACAAGAGTGTGGGTTTTTGTGCACAAGTGTGTGGGTTGCCCCCACAGGATTCTATTGTTGGCGGCTATTAAACTGATGCTATCGAAAAACTATAAAATTTTAAAGTGTGCAAGAAATATTTTTCCCTAAGCGACAATTTTAAATACACATTTAATTTTGGAATCCTGTTTTTGGGCTAACTTATTTCACGCTAAAATAATTTGAACCATTAATTAGAAATTTAATTAGCTTAAAAAAAAAAAGTAGAATACAATGCTTGTACCATAACAAATTTAATACATAAATTTGCATTTGATTATGGATTAAACTTGCCAAAAACAAATAGGATGTTTTCACTTTTACGCAGTTTTTGGATACAATTTTTGACGTTGTGAAAAATTGATACATTATAACTAAAATTCATTGTTAAAAAATTTTGTAATATTGATAAAAATATAATAAATTCTTTAGTTTTTATAATGATTTGAAAAGGAAATATAACTATTATTTTGATCACAGTTGTATATGTCAAGCTTTGATTGCAGCATTTTAGGTAATATATGACAATTTAAGCTTACAATTTATTTAATAAAATTTAAATTGAAGCATCATCAAGTAAAATACAACCACTTAAAGCAATAATACACATGTAAGAACCAATTTAAATATTTAATATGTGTTTAAAATTTTGAAGTACTCCTAGTTTGAGGCAGGGCTTCGTTTTAAATGATTCCCCCAGCCAGCCGGATATATAATTCATAAATTGTTTAATTTAATTTCGGAGTCCTTGTTTTATGGCCAGTTTGTCCTGGTCATGTTTGGCTCGAGCGCCGCCTCTAAGCCAATGTCCTGGGAATCCTGGCCGTTCGTGGAACAGAGGGGCATGGTCAACTGGCAGCCCGACATAAATTTGCAAATCGACAAATATGTCATGCTCAATACAATGCGGTTTGGGTGGGTGTGTGAGTGTGGGTGCGTTTAGGTGGCATTGGTGTGTTTTTGATGGACAATGTTTGCTTATCGCTCCACAGGCTACGTCACTGACCCGAATGGGCTCTTCCCCTGCCCCCGCCCCCGCTTCACTCCCCCCTCTACGGGCACGTGACTGACGCCTTGGTTCCAGTTCCAAATCCCGTCCTTATTTTGGCCAAACACCCACTGTCCTGTGCGCCTAAATGTATGCAAGATAGCATCTGTTTTCGTCGTGTTACCGACTTACACATGTAAGTCACTCATATTTGAGCGCACCAGTGTGTGTGTGTGTGTGTGTGACTAAGCGCCTACATTCATTACACATGTATGCGTATTAGGCGCAAATATTGAGGCTTTACTTAAACAGCATTAAGTCGAAATTAACATGTCTAAGCCAGGTTGGAAAAGGAATTTACAGGCACGGCCTTTAATACTAGATAGTTTTCTACTTTTGTAAAATGAATGGAGTGTTAGGTAAATTAAACAAAATAAAACTAAACAAAAAAAAACAAAAACCAGGCAGCATCGGAATTTTAAAAGTAGAAAAGTAAACTTCAAGCTTTCTACACATCGTCAGAAAATAGATGGAAAAATAAACCCAATAAATAAATAAAATTTCACGTGCCCCACACGTTGTGTACTAAAAAGTGTGCCAAATTTTTGAAGTTCAGCTGCTAAATCCGAGTGACTCAAAGCTTCCCGACGATGACCCATTGAGTGAGCTTTGAAGAGAGCTAAGAGAAGGCATCAAACGGACACTCTCTTAAGTGGTGAGTTTTTAACTTCGGCAAGATTGGCTAAGAGATCTATAAGGACTCGTGTCCAGGAGAATGCATTGGTAATTGAGAAATAGCTCAACAAGGACTTCGTAAAAATTGAGAACATTTCAGTTCAAAGAGATTTGGTGTTTATGAGTCTGTATTTTAGCATTTTATCTCTTACACCTTATTGAGCTATTTTAAAAACTAGCTTAAGTCTCAAAAGAACACTCAAACCGTTTGAGTTAGCCAATTATTTTTAAGAGATTTTTTGAGTGAGTAAAAGGCGTAAAAAAATGTTAAGTTTGCAACTCAAAGAGAATTTTTTTTCAAATTGAATAAGTTTCTGTTAAGATTTCTGTTAAATCTAGAGTTAAAATCAATCTACAAGCATGAGCTAAAAGAAAAAATAAATATTATATCATTTAAGATATATCAAATAAGACTCGAAATATTAATTCAATAAGTTTTCCAAACATCAATAAAGCCCATAAACGAATGGTAATGCAAAACAATTTATTTGTTGAACAACGCAAACACATCGCAGATGTGTATGAGCTCTATTAAGAGATGTAGGTTCAATACTTCAGGGCTATAAGCTTTTGGAATTCAAACAGAAACCATCTAAACAAAACATGCATCAATTGAACATCATCGCAAATGACCTGCAGAAATTCGGTTAGCTTGTTGGCCAAAATCTGATTTGCCGTTCCAGCCTTGAACGATTGATTTGGCCCTCTCATGGCGAGTATTATAGAGCTGAAATAGGCATTGTATTGAGATTAAAATGTTTTTAATAAAAACCAAAAACAAAATAGAATTTTTGGAAATTTTTATAAAGTTTTCTTTTGAATATAATAATTTCAGCAACCTCATATCTTTAATGTTTTTTGGGAAATATGAGACAAAATATTTTGTATAAAAATTAATTTCGAATGAAGAATTGAAAACCATTTTCATTAATTTTAAATATTGATCCTAAAACACAGAAACTTTTTTATGAACCTGCAGAAGATAGTTTCGAAAGATGAAGTAAGGAAAATATTTTGTAACCAATTTATTTCCTTGTTATTGACTGGATTGATGTAATCAAATCAATTTACATTTACCGAAAATGTGGATTCTATGTCACACAAGTTTTGCTCGGAGCATTAATTTCACAAAAGACTCAAACTAAGACTAAGGTCGTATTGTGCACAAAGTGGTATATTTATAAAAATCGTAGCCCCTTGAGGCAATACAGACTTTTACGAGCAGCTGCTACCCAGAAAATTGTCGTGTAAATGAATTGGACTTAATTTTTAGAGCTTGATGAATAAAAACAACACTTACAATTTAAACGAGAGCTCAGGTGTGGCAACTTATATACAAATTGACTAAACTTGGAGACCGCAAATTGCTAAAATATTTACACACATATCCAACATATTTAAGTCACCCTTTGGCTATCGATTTCTTGTCGGCCGAAATGCCGGAAAATGCCACAAATTCTTGAAATAAATGCGGTTGGCTGCTATGGCAGATATTCAGATAAATGGATTCAGATAAGACGCATATTCTCTGCCATCACGGCACCGATGCCAAGTAAAAGTCATTAATAATTCATAAAAATAAATTTTACAATAAAATTCAATTGATTGTGTAAATATTTTCCTTTACCGCAGAGGCCAAAAAGAGAATGCCAAGTGGCAAGGCAACTGTTTCGCGACCCAATTCGACCTGCCGATATGAGAAAGCGGGAAAGTGGCTCCGCCTGCTTTTTGATGTTCTGACGGGTTGTGATAAATGTCCTGATCCCAATCCAGTTCTGCGTCCTGTATGTACGTGTGGCTGTTTTATACCAGAGTGCAACAGATAAAAAGGTAACTCCAACTCTCCAAAGCAAAAAACAAAATATATTGCTTTTTTAAGCCAAGGTAAAATCTAGAGTATAAATCAACAAAATTCAATAAAAATTACGCAAATCCGTTCAGTTCAAAGGTCATAAGAACAGTATATTTTATTGGTCATTAATTGAAATATTTAAACTATCTTTTATTAATAAACATATATTTATTAATTCTTAAAAAAAAAATATTTAAAATTGAATAAATCATTTTAAAAATATATACGTACTCTTGTCGTATAAAGATTTAAATATGTATGTGTTTTACCCGTTGTCATAGTCACAATGGAAAAAGTATTTCACATATCTTCACATATATTGGCTTTTATTTAATAGTATTTCTTTTGAACAATAGGTAAGAATATTAAGTGAACAAGAAGTTGTTAACCGAATATGAAGGGATTAAAACCATTTGTTTTTTGACCTTTTCGCATTATATTATGTGAGCCTTCTTTTGTGCCCTTTATTCATCTACCTTGGTCATTTTTAATTAGGCACAAAATGTGATATTCATATTACTTGAATAGGAAAAGTGCTTCACAAAAAAAAACGAATAAATAATGTGCGCATAGATTCTGCAAGTACGAGTATATATACATAATGGATAGAAACAACAAAGTTGTAAAAACAAATCTCTGCCTATCCGCACTAACAACAAAAGCAAGGGAAAACATTTATACACCGAGCCAGGCCGCAGGTTAAATGTATGCAAATATAAACAGCGTGTGAAAGATATGGCCAAAGGGGACAAGGTGGGCGTGGTTGGTTTGGGGGCGGTGGGTGAGGTTCCACCTTACTTGTAACCGCCTTGAGCGGTACTTATGCCAATGTTCTCGCTCTCTGCAAGTGCTCGCCTCAAGTGCCTACTCCACTTCATTGTTACACTTGCCATCCCATCCTCAATGTGTGTTTTAGCGCGGGGTATGATGGATATGATGGGATACTTAGATAGGAGCGGCTCCCTCGGAAAAGTTCCACGGTGAATCTATCTGGCAATAATCTGACCTGGTTTGATTAGAATAGGGTCGCAGCTCAAGAACACTTATAAGAAGTTTTAAGTAGGTGTGCTGCGATTCATTTATTGTGGTTTAAAAATGGGCATGCAGCCCCTATATCTAATTATATATTTATAAGATTAAAAAAAGTATGGCAAAAATAGCATATACTTTCATAGAAGTGGTGTAAGATTGAATTTATAATTTCACCTTTTGCTGGCCAGTAATTATTTCTTAATATAAATAATATAATAATTATTTCTTAATATAAATAATATACCTGAAGTAATTAATCCTACCTATTCCCTATTACTGAGAATCCCTTGGTGTAACCCTTGAGTAAAAAGGTACAGCTGCTTACTTAGAACATTTGCCGCATGTCCTCAAGCTGATTAGTGTATGCCATGGCATTTTGATTGCCTGCCTCAGAACTTTGTGCCCGGGACACCTGTTGTTGCAGGACCTTTTTTGCTTCTTTCCGACTTTGCTTCTGGCCGTTGGAAAAAGGCGAGGCCAATCGAGCGCGTAGCGAAATAAATTAAATAAAAACAATTGGTAGATGCTTGGAAATTATTAATAAAAACAAAACCAATTCAGAATTGGGGCGAGGAAAATTCGTGAGATCCGCCAAACTCAATTCATTTGGTATGCATGACTTATGGCCGCCGACAATGATTTGGTTTTGGAAATTTAATTAGCGTTAAAATACTGTTGGTAAAAGTTATTGGCAGTCAGAAGACGACAAAAGTCGCGTATAAATCGTAAACTTTTTAGGGTCGCATTTATTTACTTTGGCAGGTTTGGACCACTTAGGTGGCGGGAAAGCGCAGCCATCACAAATTAGTCCATAAAAGTTATGAGTTTATAAACGTGAACCGTTAAATTGAAATCGGTCTGAGCGAAATGAATATTTTATTTCATCGAAACAAAGTAAACCGAAATGTGTCGGCCGACAAAAAGTGGGATATCAATTAAAAAAGGAAAAAGGTTTGACCAGTTGTTAGCGGAAAATTGCTTTTAAAGCAAAAAGTTTGTTTTTGTGACAATCACGAAGTGGATTTAACAATTTGTATAAAAATACACATTTAATAAAGATTTAAGTCGACTGCGAATGGATTGAATTGATGGGGTAAATGAATATTTTTATTCGCATTGATAGATATGCCCATGTAATAAACTATTGTTGAAAGCTGAATGAAAAATATATAAAGGAGGTTGAAAATAGTGAGGTTAACTGCAATAACAGCTTTTGTTGTATGTTTTCGTAGCTGAAGAACTGAAATAAATTCTTTATAGTAATTAGAAAAAAAGCATATTATATGCATACCTTTTCCTTTCCTAAAATGAACTGAGTTTCAATCACTTTCACGCTCTAATCAACCCAGCTTATTTTTTTCAGAGGTATTTCAATCACTACCGGATTGACATTCAGTTGGCCAGCTTATTTTGTCATTAATCAACACCTTTTTGCGGCTTGTGAAACACCTTTATCCCATTCCCCGGCGAAGTTGACATTCTATTAGTCAAGGCAGAAAACGAAAACAACGTCCAAAACTACAAATGGAAAATTCCTCCAGCTCATTTGCATAAAGCGACCATAAAACAAAACCGTAACCAAAATCGGAAAAAAGCGAAAGCCAAAAAAAAAAGAAGAGAAAGGAAATCCGTAGAACCGCAGTGAGAAGTTCATTTATCAAGTGTGCAGAATCTACCGAGCCTCTCGAACACATTAAATGATAAATTGCCCCGCACTGGGCGGACCACATGTCGTATGATTGACGTGTGCACTAATGCCCAGCCTCAGCTTATGTCCTGGTCCCCCGATCTCCATCTCCGGTGTCTCTCTGCTTTCTGCATAACTATGCAAAATCGCAGCCAAACTATTTATAATATTTTAAGCCCTAGCCCTGCAAGCTTACCCCACCGCATCAATCTCTTTGCCTCATATTAGTTATGCAGGCGGGGCTGCGTTGATGAGAAAATGCAAATTAGTTGCCAACTTTGCCACAGCCCGCTCGCTACTCATGGAGTAAATAGCTAAAAAGTGAAAAAAGGGCATCTTCAGCTGCATCACCTGCTTTTCTGGTCTTCTGGTCCTCTGCTCTTCATCAGTGTCACAGACAGCCGAAAAGTATGCAAACATTTTTCGCACTTTATAATTAAACAACTCAAAAGACAAAGAAGACTTAAAGGCGTTGCAGGGTCCTTGCATTTCGTCCTTTTCCAGCTGTCCCCCAATCTACTCCCTCCCCCTCTCTTTGTCCCTGTTAACCAAGACTGGCAACATTTGCACTGTAATGAACTTTTGCAATAAACTGCGCCGCAATTTTTCGCTGACAAAGTTTGGCCCTTTCCACCATCAAGACGGAGAAAAGGTCGAAAGGAGAGGAGCACGGAGAAAGTGTGGGAGAAAGCGGCGCAGGCGGATGAACGGGCACCATTTTGTGCCTTTTGCTTATTTGTTTTGTTGCGTCTCTTATTTCCGGATAGCTGCGCATTTTTATTGCGCTCAAAAAGTATATGCAAGTTCAAATGTCAAACTACTTAAAAACTTATTGTTAGCAAAAGTACAGCAAACGGCAGGACTAGACAAAACTATGAAGTGAGCGAGAGGATGCTCTACGGATAAAGATTTCTCCAACGAATGGTGATTTCTCTTACAAAAAAAGATAGTAGCAATACTATAAAAAAATTGTTAACAAAAATGCAAATACTATTTTTTTAAACGACTTTATCACATTTTTAATATAAATTTTAGAGTTATATAAAATTCTGTATATAAATCAAGGGATTCAAAACGATTTCTTAAAATAATTTAATTAATACAATAGATTAAAATTAATTTTTTGTCGTCAAATATCTTTTATAAGGAATATTAAAGCCTATTTTATGCTTAGGGTAAAATTCAAAATTCAACAGCTCTTAGACAACTTTTCAAGTTATTTGAAATCCCTAGCGATTTCTTTGGCACCCCTGATTATAACCATTTTAAAAGCATAATAACCATCTTCCCCCTTTCTCAAACAATATTCTAGAGAAGTCAAGCGGATCGCGACAAGTTTTTTGGGCAAATTGCGAAAAGCGGCAAAGAAAGTCAAACATTTTCAATAAAACTGCACAAATTATTTGTCATCTGCGAGCGTCTCAGTGGGAGTGAGCTGGGAGAAGAAGCCAGAAGCCTCCTTTCGGAAATCCACTTGCCAGGGTGTAAGAACAGGAAACGGTAGATAACCGCACCACGTAGCTCTGAACACGTTTCAAGTTTTCACTTTAACTGCA